AATGACTATTCCTAGTTTATTTCCATTGTTCTTTGTGGAGTAATGGTAAATATCTTTTAAGAACTTTCCAGTGACTATATTTTGTGTGATTTTCTTCTTCTCTCTCACAATGAGCATAGTAAGAATGGAATTAGTTTTGTTGAGAATGTGAATTTATGAGATACAGTGATTATTAGTGAAGCAGTTATTGTTGCTAAACATTTACCAAGAAAGTTTATGCATATGGTTCTTTGCCATTTCTCATTTTCTTTTATTGGAACCAAATTTTATTGAATGATTTATTTCTTAGGCATATCTGATACTGTTTGTGGAGTTGATGCCTAGTTTCCTACTGTTTACTATTGCTTGGAAATCTTCCTAGGGACTGGTCAAGAAGTTTGCTATTATGAATTTTGGAAAGTCAATATTTTTAGCTTAAAAAAACAAATCAGAGTTCCAGTCCCAGGTAGATAGAGTTAGCTTATTGTTCACTGAGTACTCTATAAAACCATTACTGAATGCACAGAGCAGCTATTTGAGGACTCTGAAAAGTAAATATGGACAGTCCTTGCCTTGTTGCATGGTTTTGATGTGCATGAGTTTGATTCCCCAGTTTGGCTAAGTAACACCAGTCCCCAAATAACACAATTCGTATTTCAGTTAACAAAGTTTATTAGCTAGAAGCACTGCAAAAATACACACTTTACTGCTAGCTCTTCAGTTCACACATTACTATGTAAATAACAGATCACTGCTTTTGAAGTTGCTGATTGGTCACAGATAGTAAGACATAGTTGTATTACTTCCTTGTCTTCTAATAATAAACCTGTGGTGTGCTGTTTTACAAAAATAAAAATAAAGGGATCGGCTAACAGTACAACAATAAAATGAAAAGTGATAATGCTGGAAGTGAAGTGTGAGTCTGTTTTGGAGGAGTTCTATGTGGCGTTATAAAGAAATAACTGCTGATAGTAGGAATATTGACACTGCCGCTATTCAAGAGTCCCTAGATATACATCCAGAGGAATTTAGTGACATCATATTTAGGGAATGACAAATTCTTCTAAGGACTTTTTCCAGATTAAAACATCCCATTTTTTTTCATTCTATTTATTTTTTGTTCTTCCATTCATTGCCTACAGTCATCATAACAAAAACTATATATTGAGCAAACTGATCTTCCCTAGGTGTTGTTCTAATTATTTTACATACACTGTCTTATTGTGTCCTCAAAAAAATTTTGTGAGTTATTGACTGATACAGTGTGAAATATATGGATAGGAACAGAAGCAGAAGCAAAAGCAGCACAGCTGAGGAAATCACTACCAGGCTTCTGTCTTAGTGTTTCTGAATCATGATGTTTTCAACGATCACATCTTTTATTTGGAGTACCCATTGCCACCTGGATGATTTCTTTTCAGAGAGTTGCTTTGCAATGTAGTTCGTCCTTTTGAGTTTTATACTCTTTTTCAGGTTCATTAAACTTCTGTTTTGTCTCTAATTAGAATCTTTCACATAGAGCCATCACAGAACTTTCAGAGCTCTAGGAAAATTTTGAAGTTTGATAATTTTAATATTAATATAAAAGCTTATGTAGTTTTAGAGAATTTCATTTATCTACTAGTTTCCAAAATAATGAGTTGGTTTGCTAGCATGCTCTAGTAGTGACCAATGGCTTTTTTTCTCCTTGAGGATCGTTAACTCACAAACTTATCCATATATAAATCCATTGTAGTTAGTATTTCTATTGATGCTCAAATTATTTCATTATTGCCTAGAGGGAGACTTCTTGACTTCTAAGTTTAAAAAGTCTGTCTTGACAATTTGGATAAACTACTTTATAATTGCCATTCAGTTACAGTGCCCAATTTTTATTTGTATTCATACCAGTACATAGTAGTAATGCTTCAATTATTTTAGTCTAAAATCAAGTGAACAGAGGTAAATGAATAGACCTAATATGTAAATAACACATTTACATCAACTTGAGGTGAAAATATGGCATAACATGTTCTGTGATGCTGGTTTTGCAGTATTTCAGATAGGGGAAATTGGCAGAAAAAGGAATCATCACCTGGTACCTGCAGAGGTAGCCATGCTAAACTCTTAGAACCTGTACCACTGGAGTTAATACCAGTCTAGTGTGTAGTAGCATTGATTTAGTGTTCAGCAAAATAACATCATCCATCATAGTAAATTAATCTTAAATTGAATTTTATTAATGTTTTGTTTTCACTTAATTTCAAGTTTGATTTGCTTTTGCACCTAGTGTAGAACTGGTAAAGATCTGTCAAAAATGAAAGTTCAGAAGGATAAGTTGTACATTTGTGACTCTTCTTCCTTTAAGGCAGTTGCTGATTTAAAAAAAAGATGGCTTAGGAGCAGAGAGAATAGGATCAAAGCTATCAATAGACTGGATGGGCCAGGGAAACCAAAACTGGACTTCGGGAATCTTCCAGCTTTTACTGGAGACCCTAGTGGATGATAACCTAGAAAGAAGGTTGAGCTGAAAATGAGAGAAGTGATGAACTAAAAATAGACTTATCCTGATGGGGGCAGAAGCCCAGCTTTGAATCATCGTGGTTCCTAACTAGATTAAGTTATTTGGATTTCCTAGTGACCCTAGCCTGACTTCCTGCTAGAAGCGAAACCAAATCCTTTCTGGAGGAAGATGTCATCCAAAGTTTTAAATGATCTCCACAGTTTTTCATATCTGATGTCTATCATATGATAAGTAATTACGCATAAGAAAATTTAAGAAGTGACTGAACAGCAAGGAAAAAAACCAGACAGTAGAAACATACATGAGAATATGAAAAAATTCTGATTAACCTGTTCAAGAAATTAAAAGACACGATTGAGAATTTTGACAAAGAATTGGAAACTCCAAGAAAGAACCAAATGAAAATTACAGAAACTGAAAAATATAACTAAAATAAACAGATAAATAAAACCAATCCTGTTAAATAGGGGATTTATAGTAGGGATTAAATAGCAGTTAGTATTACATTGAAGAGATAATTAATGGATTAGGTAGGCCAGCATAAGATAGAATTTATAAAATGAAAGATATCAAAGTATAGATTCCATGATCTCTATGGGTCAAAAATGGGATAACTACAAATAAAGCCTTACACTGTTATATCATAGTAAAACCATTGACAATCCAAGTCAAAAGAAGTCTTAATAACTAGAGCTAAAAAGGTCACATTACTTAGAAAACGTTAATAAGAAATGACCGCTGACTTTGCTTCTAAAAGCTTAGTGACATCAGGCTTTATGTGAAAGATGTGAATAATAAAGATAAACAAAAAGTTAATAGAGCTGGTTCTGTCACTAACTTGTGTGATCTAAAGTCATTGTACATTTCTAGTCCTTTTTTTGTGTTACAGTTCAGATTTGAGCTTCTTAATATGGTTTAATTTTATTCAGAGCTTATCATAGGTTGCTGATACACCATTTCATAGTCTTTGGTCTATTTACATGTTAGATTTAGTTTTATTTTACTTATGTATAAATTATTCTCAAGGTAGACCTTGTTTTCCTGGGCCTACTCCGTGTATTTCTCTGGATTAATAGGCTGGGTCATATAGCTAGTGAATGCTTAGGGAGGATGGTATTTTGTATATCCCAAGTTAGGAAAGCAGGGGACAGAGAGTGTAGAAATGAGAGCAGCATTAGAATTGCATTCCTGAAATTTTATTTCTTTTAATCTGGACTGTTTTATCCTTGGTTCTCCAGGAGAGCTAAATCCAAATAACCAAAATGAAGAAGGGTTTGCTCATTTGTTATTTATATTGTTTCATCTGTGCTTTCCCTTCAACTGAGGCTATTTTTTTTCTGCACAGTTCCCCAAGGACACCAAATTGCTCTCTCCATAAGTGGTCCTCTACTCTTTACTGCTGGCTAAATTTAAGAAACTTTGTTTTCTCAATCATTTGTTTTGATGTTCTCTTTAAAGAGTTATGGGTGACGTGTTCTATGCATCTATATATTATTTTTATTAATACTGTTTTTTATTTATCCTTGGATAAGATATCTAGGCCTGAAGCTGCCCAGCAATTCAGGGTATTTGGATTTTTCTCAGCTTTACTCTCTCTTCTTTGGGCTTCAGTTGAATCCTCTTTTCAGGTCTGTAGTTGTGTATAGCTCTGAACGTTATTCTATGTATTTAGTGTCTTTTGTAGCTCTTAAGGTCTAAAAGATGTCTTATATCATCCCTGCTGACTGACTCCCTAATAATCTGAAGAGAGCATTCAGACTACTGTATTCTCTTCTGTGTATTAACAGTCTGACATCTGACCACATAGTTTTCTGGAATTTGAAGTCTTTGAATGAATGAAAAGATGTTCTGATATACAGTTGGGCAATGCATATTATTTTAATAGCAGCAGTCACTGTGAGAGCTGGTCAGTTTTCTGTTTGTTATAGACCTGAGGCTTCTGAAGGAGTATTTTGAAGGGAGCAAGACTCTTTCTCTTTTTTTCAGATATATGGCCTTATTAAGTTTCTAAACATGGATGGCATGTCAATTAGATATTTAATCTGCTTTTGTAAGCCTGTAGGTAGTAGTCCTGTCTTTCACATTCTGCTAATAGATGGAATAGGTAGCAACAGATGCTATTTAAAACCAGATGCTAGGGAACCCTGGGTGGCGCAGCGGTTTAGCGCCTGCCTTTGGCCCAGGGCGCGATCCTGGAGACCCGGGATCGAATCCCACGTCGGGCTCCCGGTGCATGGAAGCCTGCTTCTCCCTCTGCCTATGTCTCTGCCTCTCTCTCTCTCTCACTGTGTGACTATCATTAAAAAAAAAAAAAAAAAAAAAACAGATGCTAGAATTGATTCTGAGAATATTTATGTTTACTATATTGATGTTTCCTAACATACCTTACTACAATTTTTTTCTGATATAAATTCATTTAGGGAGCTCAGATTATTCAGAAGTAGCTTTAAAAATCTCTTGTCTGTTTGTATTTGGAATTGTTTAGGGAGCATAACTTCTCCTTCATTATATTCTTTAGTTAAAAGAAAGCTTGGAACAATCAATAGGTCAACTGCGGAGTCAACGTTTATTGAGACACTCAGGAGGGAGGAGTATTTCTGTTACGAGTCTGAGTGCAAGTGACCTTGATGGTGGCACTGTGACAGGTAAGCTCTTCACATGTTTTGAAACCTTTTTTTGCTTTACAAATATTTGTGAAACATATGTTGAATACATTTACTTCTTTGAGTACTAGGACCCATACATGAAATCATACAAATAAGGTTAAGATGCAGTTGTCACTGATTTTTATGGTACCTATTTTGAAATATGTTCAGTGGGACTTTGTTATTCTAATACTTTTGTTCTCAGACTCCATAGACTACATGACAAAACCTGGATTTAATCATCTGCCTCTAATTAAAAGGAATACACAAATAGGATTTACTGTGTGGTATTCTTTTTAGATGAGAAGTCTTGTCCCAGCTTCCCAGTTTTCATAGTCTGATTAGAGATATCCTATAACACTTGTTAAGAACAGGTGAATTTTATCTTTGTTGCACAGCTAGATTTCAACAGCTAGATTACAGATATAACACTTGGTTTGCCTGTAGTTAATCAACTACTTCAACACTGAGATCACATTTGAATGGAAAAGATTTAGTCTGGAGTGAAGAGAGGTGATTTACATAGAAGTAAACATTAGTAGCCAGCTTTGTTAATATTGCTATTGATCATAATACAGATTAAAAATTGGACACAATCAGCTATTTTCTATGTAGATTTTATTGATTTTTAAACAAGATTCAAATATTAGATTACTTTTTTTAAATTCTGTTTTATTGGTATTGTTATATTTTAGAAAGACATAAAAGTTATTTTTATTTACCAATTTATTATTCTTAAATAAGGGAAATACTATATTACATCTTTGAAAAATATAGCAAATTAGAACTTTTGATATTTTCTATTTCCAGGTTATTTCTGTTGCTTATGCTGTATGCTTAAAGAACAAAATTAGTGCCGATTTAGTGACCCTAGCAAGATACTCAGGAAATAGTCTGGGTTAGAGCCTATGTATATATCCCTGTCTGCTATATATTTTCTGATCAAAATTTTAGGTCGTTTCTTCTCCTACATGTTTTTATTCTTTCTTTTCTTTCATCTCTGAAGAGAGCTACCGATTTCCACCTACCTCACCTCTCAAGAACTATGGGGACCAACAGGGCAGTAAACGAATTAGGTCCAGAACTGGTGTCCGATTTGTTCGGGATCCTGACGACGTGGGCCAGGTACTTTGTACCATTCTGTAATCTGTGTTTGATCTTTTTTTTTTTTTAAACCAAGTAAGCTATTTTATTTTCAATATTATTATTATCATTTTTAATCAGTATTATCATTTATTTTGAATTTTGTAATGGAGGAGTATGTTTTGTGGAATATTTAAAGGTGAATTTAGCTGGACATGTTTTGTTTCCTTGTTCAGGTGACTTACTCTTCTGTAAGCCTTGCTAAAGTCAGCTACTTATTATTTTGCTAACTTTGTTTTAATATAAACAAGTTAGTCCATGTGTGATTAACCTATTGGTTTTTTTTCATTAGTGTTTTTCTGATTGTTGAATCCCTGATGGAACTACTTAATATAAGCAAGAACTTTTCTACTTTTTTCATGTATTTCACGTACTCACTGAAGATTTTGGAAGTGTTGGTTTCTGTAGACATACTTCTTTTTCTACTTCTTTAAAGTTCCCTATAAGAGCTGGAAAAAATTTTTCTTGTTGCCTTGAGTAGCTAAATTAATTAGATAAGGGCTAGAGGATGTTGGTGATTTTGACATCTTTGTTTTGGTGGTTTTAGGATTGTAGGCTCAGAGTTTGTCAGGATACTCACCTGTAGCGTTTGCTGGTTATAGTATAAGATAGAAGTAACAGAACCAAGTGCATGAGAAGGCACCTTATAGAAACTTTTCCTCGAGGATTCCTGGGTGGCTCAGTGGTTTAATACCTGCCTTTGGCCTAGGGCATGATCCTGAAGTCCCAGGATCAAGTCCCACATCAGGCTCCTGCATGGGGCCTGCTTCTCCCTCTGCCTGTGTGTCTGCCTCTCTCTCTGTGTCTCTCATGAATAAATAAATAAAATCTTAAAAAAAAAAAAAAAGAAACCTTTCCTCTACTGTGGTGTTTTTTTTTTTTTTTTTTTTTTTGGTAGGTGCAGCTTGCTAGAATGGATTATATGATGATGAAGCCTAGAATAGAGAATATCCTAACATTCATTTACTCTTTTATTCTGTTTATTTACCACCAATATTCTGGGACAGTGCTTGTGTTAAGCAAAAATCCTGCCTTTTTGTGGAGCTTGTAAGCTAGAAGTGGGAAAGGCTGTTTATTAATCAAATAAGTGCATAAATAAACCCCATGATTGTGAACTGAGATGCATGCTACAACAGAAAGTACAGGGCCATGGTAGTAAGTGGTAGAGGGACTTACCCCAGTCAGGGAAGGTTTTCTGAAGAAAGGCTGATGAGCTGAGACCTGAAAGTTGAGTGAGTCATTTTAGGTAGAACAAATCTCTTGGCAGGAAGGAAGCCAACATCTATTAGCAACTTGAAGAAGTCCATGTAATTAAAGACATATGAAGAGGTGAGACTGTGCACAGTCTTGTAAGAGAGCGATAGTTACTTTGAGAAAAATTCCTCTAGTGTAGGAAAATGGAATCAATGTGGGCAACCGAATTAAGAGGATATTGCTGTGTTGTGGGTGTGAAACACTAGTTAGTTGGATTAGGATAAATGGAGTTGAAGGAAAGGGAGATAGATTGAAAAGCTATTTGGTAGGTAAAATGAAAGGCGTTGAAGATCAGATGACTCGGTGGAGGGTGAGAATGATCGAAAAGGAGGTATCAAGGTTGAGTCCTAGGATTCTTATTTGCAAAACTGGAAAATCATGGCAAAATCCAAGTGAATGGTCTGCTCTTCATCTACTATATTACCTCCACTCTCTCTTTTTAACTGTTATTCCTGATTTTAAGTCTCTTTTCTTAAGATGACCTTTGGTTCCACATTGACTGTGTACTTTATTAATGCCCTACATATCATTTGTCATTTTGTTTACAGATCTGTCCCCTGTGTTAAATTCTGAGCCCCTTGTTTTCTACCATAATTGCTGGCACTGATTAGTTCAATGTGCATTTGTTGAATTGAATCAATTTGTTTTTTCTGCATATGTATATGACTTAAATTTTTTTCATTGTAAATTATAGTATACATATACATATATAGTGTACTACATACTAACAACTAAAAGTACAGTAATGTAAATGAAAATCCATGTAACCACCACCCAGGCAAAGAATCAGAGCATTATTGTGTCCCTAAAACTTTTATGCTCCCCCTGTCTCCAAGAGCTATCAACTATCTTGACTTTTATAATAATCATTTTCTTGCTTTAATACAAAACAAAACATCTGTAATACTTAGATCTTGTTTAGTATTGCTTGCATTTAAACTTTAAATAAATGGAATAACACTGTATGTTGTTTTGTGCTTTCTTTCAATTGATGTTTTTGACATTTAGCCTTACTAATGTGTAGGTAGGTTTGATCACTTCATTTTTACTGTTATATTCCACTGGGAGAATATATCACAATTTATTTATATCCATCCTGTTCTTTTTTTTTTTAAGATTTATTTATTTATTCATGATAGAGAGAAAGAGAGAGGCAAAGACACAGGCAGAGGGAGAAGCAGGCTCCATGCCGGGAGCCCGACGCGGGACTCGATCCCAGGACTCCAGGATCACACCCTGGGCCAAAGGCAGGCGCCAAACTGCCGAGCCACCCAGGGATTCCCCTCCATCCTGTTCTTAATGGACTTTTGGTTTATTTTCAGTGTTTTTGTTATGAACAGCGCTGCTTCAAACATTCTTGTATGTGGATCCTGGTGGTGTGGGCAAGAGTTTCTCTGCAGCATGGATTGGCATACTATGGCATGTGGTCTAGTTGAATAGAGTTCTTTTGTAGCACAGCCATGCTCATTTGTTTATGGCTACTTCTGTGCTAAAATGGCAGCACTGAGTAATTTTAACAGAGGTCATATAGACTGAAAGCCTGAAATATTTGCTGTTGTACCCTTTACAGAAAAAGTTTGCTGACCTCTTTTTTTGGGGGTGAGGGGGTTTCTAAAAGGACTGGAATTACTGTACTATAAAGGATGTGATGGTTAATGTTTTATATAACCTTCAAAAAATTGATTTTCTTTGGAAAAATATTTCTTTCAGAATAGACATTTATTATGTCTTTTTTAAAAAACAATTTTATTATTTATTTATGAGAGACACAGGGAGAGAGGCAGAGACAGAGGCAGAGGGAGAAGCTGGCTCCATGCAGGGAGCCCGATGTGGGACTCGATCCTGGGACCGCGTGATCACGACCCTAGCCGAAGGCAGATGCTCAACCACTGAGCCACCCAGGCGTCCTGACATTTATTATGTCTTAACATTATAAAATTTGGGCATTAGTCCAAAAAGTAAGTTCTTACTAACCTCAGTAAATCTTCATGGAAGAATTAAACAGATTCCTAAATAGATAATTATCTTTTGCCTTTACCAGCTTCATTCCTTTCATCAGTCCCTCCGAGACCTCAGCAGTGAACAGGTTCGGCTTGGAGATGATTTCAACCGGGAACTTGCCAGAAGAAGCCGGTAAAAGCAGAATATGGTTTTTGTTGGAGGCATGAGTTATTAGAGGAAAACAATAAATTCTGTAATTGACATGTTTACATGAATTTAAAAAACAGTGCTGTTTTATACCAGTATTTTAAAATTTATTAATAGAACAGTTTAAAATTCTTAGAATTTAGAATGTATCATGACTACATGTTAGACAAATTAATTTCATATTTTTTTAAAGATTTTATTTATTTGAGAGAGAGAGCGCACACACATGAGCAGAGGGAGGAGCAGAGCAAGAGGGACAGATTCCCTACTGAGCAGGGAGCCCAACGTGGGCCTCTGATCCCAAGACCCTGAGGTCATGACCTGAGCTGAAGTCAGATACTTAATCAACTGAGCCACCCAGGCGCCCTTTAATTTCATATTTTTAAAAACATTTTAATTTACTACACTGAAGCACTGCTGTTACAGAGAGATACATTGTGACACCTTAGCATAGAGGTCAATTTGCAAATACATTGGAAAGGGTGAGAGACGGAGGCAGAGACCAATCTGATATTTTAGCTTTCAGTTGAAACCTTCAAAAGTGAGTGTTTTATATCTGACAAGTCTTTGCAGTTTTATCAATTCTTGGTAGTCCCCAACAAATAATCACTTTATTTAAAATTTCTTCACTGTCTTTTCATTTTTATCATCAACAGTGACAGTTGGCTTTCATTCAGAGGCCATATTTTTGCAAGAAACTAAACATTTTTATTCCTTCTCAAGAATCACAGTCTATATACAGCAGTGATGGGAGAACAACAAACCTGAATGGAAGTTTGTTTACTAAGTTCCCTTGCCAACTACCAAAATCAGCTAACAAAATCATTCCACACACCAGTTTTTTGTTACTATAGCAAAAAGAGTCAAAGCTATAAATGTTAAATATGTGATTATCAACTGTAGTCTGTATAATGTACTTGCTTTTAAATGGGGAAGGCAGGAAATTTAGTAATAAGAAATATGTTACTATTACTTCTACTCCTAATAGTTAATATTATTGAACACTTACTACATGCCAGATAGATTTAGGTTTAATTTTAATAATAACCCTAGTGAGTTAGTCATCATTATTTTTTCCAGTTTTTGGATGTGGAAAGGGGCACAGAGAGATGAAGTAACTCAGCTTGCTGGAGTTCAAATGGGAGATGTGGTGAAATCAGCTTTCAGGTGTAGGCAGTGTGGCCCCAGAGTATTTGCTCTTTATCACGTATAGTACCCTGTGATTCAAGGCCATTTTCATTTATAGCTGGTATGAATAAAGAAATTAAGTTCTTGAATTGTGAGCTAATATTGTTGGTCTATATTTATTGCCAGTCTTTTAAACTGGTAAAGGTTAGTTAATTTTAAAACTAGGTATTTGTTTTTGACAAGTTGATAAAATCAGCAGAATGGTGTCAATATTTTATGTTCTTGGATTGCTTTATATGCAGCTTTTACACTTTGAAGAAAGGGTACAAATTAAGCATTAGGAAAATGAATTTTAGGAATTTGTCCTATAAGAAGACAAAGGAAAAGGGAAGTTATAGGGATGATTTACTTATTTAGTTTAAGAGATCATGTGGCTCTGCAGTGGTGGACTGGGAATCTTCTAATCCATGGCCTGGTGCCATCTGATAATAGTCTATATACTCAGAGGCATGTGTGAAGCAGAGAAACTTAAGTTAAATTAGGAGTCAAGTTTCTTCTGGAACCTGGTGACTTAGCTTTGTGAATGAGGAAGATTTTAGGATCCCATTCTGCTTTACTTATACCACAAATTCTTAATTTATGTTTATAAAAGTACCAGGTAGGAAATTGCTAGTTTAACTTTCTGTGTGATTCAGAAAGATTGATATTTTCATTTAATTACTAACTTTTCATTTTTTGACATTACAAAAGGTACCTTGAAGTAAAACTACACCGGAAAGCAAGCTTTTAGAAAGGATTAAATAAAGTTTAACTTAGAACTCACTTTGGATGCCATATGGAAAATTGATTTGGGAAGGGCAAGTTAGAAGACTATTGCATTAGAGATGATGGCTTGACCAGGATTATGGCAGGAAAGAGATGGACTGGGCTATGTTTCAAGATATTTTTTTGAGATTGAAGAGGTAGGATTTGGCATTGATTGAATATGAGGGGTAAAGGAGAATAAATCAAGGATGACTGCCAGATGTCTGACTTGAGTAGCTGGGAGATGGTAATTCCACTTCCTGAAATATGGAAGGCTGGAAAGGATAGATCAGGTATAGAAATTAAGGGTTTGGCATTGGATATCTGAGGTTTGGGATGCCTGGGAGATTTCCAGATGTAAAATGTGAAGCTAGATATTTACTCTGAAGTTCAAAGGAAAAGTCTGTTAGAGATGTGAATTTAAGAGTGATGAGCACATAGAGGTAGTATTTAGAAATGGGTGAGATCTAGAAAGGAGAACATCAAGGACAGGGTTGAGTTCCAAAAACTTCCAATATTAGAAGTCTTATATACATAGAGGAGGGGCCAGTGAGATGTGAGAAATCCAGCAGTATATAGAACTACAAAAGTTAAGAAAAAGGTACAAGTAAAGACATTTTTAGAGATTTAAAGACTTAGAAAATTTATCTTTTAGAGTAAAATTTACTCTAAAAGGTAAATTCTTCCTGAGTACATTACCTAAGAACATATAAGTAAAATAAGAGGATAAACAAGAAAAAGGGAGATGCAGACTATGAGAAATAAACTAACCCAGAAACTTGGTTATCATTCCAATCCCTGGAATGATAGCCATATAGGAAATATTCACTCTAAATTAGAGCAGGAAGTAGATGTCCTTTGAGAAGAATGTAGTCAACAAGAATGGGTAGATTCTTTTTCTTTTTTTTTTTTTAAAGATTTTATTTATTCATGAGACACACACACACACACACACACACACAGAGAGAGAGAGAGAGAGAGAGAGGCAGAGACACAGGCAGAGGGAGAAGCAGGCTCCATGCAGGGAGCCCGACGTGGGACTTGATCCCAGGTCTCTAGAATCAGGCCCTGGGCTGAATGTGGCACTAAACTGCTGAGCCACCTGGGCTGCCCTGGAGTAGATTCTTAATAGATGATTCTGTAGAAAGAGAAAAATATCAATGTGATAAATAAAACCCATATAAGGTCAAAGGATGAGAAACTAGAAAAAAACAAAAGCACAAGAAAGTTAATGATCCAAGTATGAAGCTGACTAAAATGGAGACATGATAGAATGTAAGCAAAGAGCATCAATTCTCTATGATGGAATAATTCATAAGAGGTATAAATTTATTGAGTAAATTGCATAGGCAGCCAGTAGAAAAACTTTAAAAATGGTAATGAATGTATCTGAAATTGGAGAGGGGTATCAGCTAAGTATTTCAAAACAGTCAGTTGACAGTATCTAGAGATGAAAATGATGGAAGTAATCAGCGAAAGAATGGAAATGGTTGAGCATGGGTGCTATGTGGAACCAGGGGTAAGAGGTGTGAGAGAGGAAGGGCTTTGCATTTATTTGTAAGTTCTTCTGTATTATTTGATTATTTATCATGTGTGTTACTAATTTGTTGGGAATAAAGGTACTGAGAGGTAAGTTGGTGATGACAGAGTTTGGATAGCTCACATGGATGTAATTTGATTACAGATTACTAGTGGGGGTGTGAGATCAAGTTTTGTCCTCCACCCCCCTCTACCCTTTGTTTTTAATATAAAATGAAATATATTGCAGGCTGTTTATTGAAGATGGTATTCCAGTATACTTCTCAGAGTGTAATTCCCAAATCAGCACCATCAGCATCAACTGGGGATTTGTAGAAATGCACGTTCTTGGGCACCATTGCAGATCTGCTGATTCAGCAGCCCATCTTTTTAAGTCTTCCAGGTGTTTCATATGTTGGCTGATGTTTAAGGACCACTGCATTAGAGTATTATGTAATAACATTATTATGTTGTAAATGTCACAAATTGTATTTTCTTAAGCAGCCAACTTGAAATATTTTTCTTCGCCTAGGTCGGATGCTGAAACAAAAAGAGCTTTGGAAGAATTGACTGAAAAACTTAATGAAGCCCAAAAACAAGATGTGGTGAGAACTCTTTGTTAAAAAAATAAATAAAAAATTCCCTATGCAGATGATAGAGTGGCTGGGCTGGTTGTAATCATAGCGAAGTTTAGTGGATTTTAACTTTTTGAGTAGTATATGTCATTTTGTCTAAACTTTGTTCTTATACTTCTGATAAAACGTTCATGAATTTTGGGTATTGAAGTTTAAATATTTACCATGATGATATATTAGAGGTAGAATTCACTTATTTTGGGGCACCTGGGTGGCTCAGTTGGGTCCTGGAATCAAGCACCAGATCAGAATCCCTGCTCAGTGAAGAATCTGCTTGTTCTCCCTCTGCCCCTCCCTCTGCTCATGCGCTCTCTTTCTCTCAAATCAATAAAATCCTTAAAAAAAAGAATTTATTTAATTTTTAGAGTTTCCTTATGAATATTCAGAAGGGACCCAGTGATTCCATGGCTTTTGTTAAATGATATTTGAGAGATACGGAATTTTTTGATAGTGACTCCGTAGCATTCCTCGTTAAGTATTTTCAGTATTTTCATTTTACCTGTGTGTGTAATCACAGTTGCTGCAGAGACCTGCAGTCTGTTGTTTGACATGGTGCTAACTGAAAATACCCCTAATTTGTTTTATTATCTCAAACTCAGATTGTTAATAGTCATTATTCAGTGGTTTCTGTTTTATCAAATCACAGTCCTTGGTTGAATTAAAGCGAAAATGGAGTACATACAGTGTGTGTTTCTTTCCATCATAATTTGTTTCTTTCTTTTTCTTTCTTTTTTTTTTTTTAGGAGAAAAAAATTAATAGAAATTGTCAACTAAACTTGGAAATTTACCAACTTCAAGAACAATGTGTATTTATTCATATCCCATAGTACCTTTTGTACTATGGGAATGATAGCGGACAGAATTTTTTTCTTAACGTGTTTCATTAAAACTGAAATTGTCCTAATAAGGGCAGATATTTTTTCTGCAGTTTTTATTATGTTGACAGTTCCTTACATACGTATGTTGAGTTTATTGTGGAGCTTGAATTTATTGGCCACGTACGCTAAGAGATGGGTATGCTCGTTCTATTTCCAGAGACATCAACTTAGTTACTCTTCTTGCAGTGAAATTTGCCCATTTCAAAAATTTATTTATTTTTTTAAAGATTTTATTTATTTATTCATGAGATAGAGAGAGAGAGAGAGTCAGAGACACAGGCAGAGGGAGAAGCAGGCTCCATGCAGGGAGCCTGATTTGGGACTTGATCCCGGGTCTCCAGGATCACACCCTGGGCTGAAGGCAGCACTAAACTGCTGAGCTACCCGGGCTGCCCCCATTTCAAAAATTTGAAAAAACATCTGGCCACATGAAAGCACATTCATCTTGTGCTTTTGGTGCTGATTTATTTGCCCCAGAGAGATGAAGATACACTGTCTGTCTTCTGTTGAATAGACAAAATCTTTGTAGTTGGCAGCTGATGTGTGATCAGGTATGGAGTACTTCTTCTTCTTCTTTTTTTTTTTTTTACATAAAGTCCTACATTTTTTGAGGCATACCAAGACCTTCAGTTTAAGTCGTGCCAATCTAAAATACTTTTAACTATCATACTTCAAAAAACGTATTTTCTGAGATTAACAGATTGGTTCATTTCTTCGTTAATTGCAGTGGTTCACACAGCAAGAAGTTCTGCCACTGTCTGATTTACATATTATCTAAACAGGAACTGAACACACACTTTTAAGAATGTAGCTCCAAGATCCTCTGTAACTTACTAAACTATCTCTAGCTCTCTCATATATTCTAGAGTGGAGTTTGCCACCTAACAGCAGAACCTGCTAAAGCTTTGTCTCTTAATTTTTAATTTTCTAAATTTGGAGGTATAATTTACTTATAGAAAAGTACATGTATTAGTAAATAACTCAGTGAATTATTACAAGGTGAACAGGCCCATGTAACCACCACCCAGATCTACAAATAGAGCATTACCAGTACATGGAAGCTGCCTCATTCCCACTCCAATTAATAATTTCTCCTCCTGTTTCCAAGATGACTATTTTGACTTTTTAGCTCATGCTAATTTTGACTGTTTTGAATTTCTTAATATAAGTGGAATCCAATAGGGCATTTTTTTTGTGTCTGTTTTTTGCTAATCCTTAAGGTTATGATATTTCTGGATATTGTGTCAAGTACTAGCAGTTTGTTCATTTTTATTGCTCTTTGGTATTCCATTGTATGGATTTGCTGCAGTGTATGTTAACATGATATTTGAATTATTTAAATTTTGGGCTATTACAAATAAGGTTGCAGTTAGTAATCTTACTCATGTTTTTATTTTATTTATTTTATTTTATTTTATTTTATTTTATTTTATTTTATTTTATTTTATTTTATTATTTTTTTTCTTATTCATGATTTTAGTTCACATACACATGCATTTCTGTTGGTACATAACATGGAGTACAATTGTAACATGGCTTCAAATTTAGCAGATATTGATAACTAAGTTTCCAAAGTGTTTGCATTAACTTCCACTTCCACTGACAATGTAGGAGAATTCATGTTGCTTTTTTCATCTTTTCCAGTACTTGGCCTTATTAGCCTTTTAATTATAGCCAGTATGTTAGGTGTTTATAGTGTCTTATCATTGCTGTAATTTGCATTTTCATTTGTCTTTTCTAGAGTTTCTCATCTTTTGGCCTAATATGGGCCTTATTTATTACATCGTTGATATTTTCCCCCAATTCCTTACTGAATTGTCTCAGGAATCTACTCCATTCTTTTTGGCTTTTGGCTAATTTCTTTTTTGAGATTTCAGTTTGCTTCTTTTGCCCATTTTTTAAAAAATTGGATTTCTTTTTGTTATTGATTTGTGAGAGGTCTTTATATATTTTGTATATGAGCACTCTGTCAGTTATTTGTATTACAATGTTGTCTTCAATTGTCTAGAGCTGTTTCTTCTCACTCTTGAAATTCTCTTAATGGGATTTTCTGTTGAAATTTAATCTAGTTCAGTTTTCCATGTTTTCTTTTGTGGTTGGTGCCTTTTTGACCTGTTTGAGAAACTGTTCTCTATCCTCAGATCATGAAAATATTTTCTTATGTAATATTCTAGAAGCTTATTGTTTTACCTTTTATATTAAGATTCTAATCTTTTATATTAAGATTCTAAAAAAAAGATTCTAATAGCTACTTAGAATTGATATTTAAGGTATGAAGTAGGGATCATATATTTAAATGAATATCTAATTGATTCAGTTTCATCTATTGAAAGAGCCACCCCTTTGTTATTTCTTTACAGTCCCATCTTGGTCATAAATCAAATGTCCACATGTGCAGGTATCTGTTTCTGGACTTATTCAATCCTCTGGTTCATTTGTCTATTCCAGTGTTTATATCACTCTATCTTGATTACTGTTGCTTTTATGATAAGTTGTGATATGGTAAAGTCCTTCCATTTTGTTCTTCAAGTTTATCCCATGTATTCTTTACTCTGCATTTCTGCATTTATTTTATTTTATTTTTAAAATATTTTATTTATTCATGAGAGAGAGAGAGACAGAGAGAGGCAGAGACACAGGCAGAGGTAGAAGCAGGCTCCATGCAAGGAGCCTGATGCGGGACTCGATTCCTGGTCTCCAGGATCACACCCCAGGCTGAAGGTGGCGCTAAACTGCTAAGCCACCTGGGCTGCCCCTCTGCATATATTTTGGAATCAGCATATGAAATTATTAAAAACCTGGGATTTTGATTAGATTACACTGTATCTATAGGCCAACATTGGAGAGAATTGACATTTTTACAATGTTGAGTTTTCCAATTCATGAACATAGCAAATTTTTCCATTACTATTTATAGCTTTTATTTATTTATTTACTTATATATTTAATATCCTTCTTAAAAGATTTTATTTTTTTATTTGAGAGAGAGAGCAAGAGAGAGCATGAGCAGGGGGGGAGAGGCAGAGGAAGAGGGAAAAGCAGGCTCCCTGTTGAGCAGGAAGCCTGACGTGGGCTTGATCCCAGGACCCTGAGGTCATGACGTGAGCAGAAGACAGACACTTAACCAACTGAGCCACCCAGGCACCCCTATAATTTTTTATCTAGAGATCTTATGTGTTATACATCATTTTTAAGGATTTAAGGTTTATTTTTAGACTTTTATATTTTTATGCCATTTTTTAGAGTATCATTTAACATCAAAAAAATTAACAGTATTAGTACTGTCTCTTAAAAGTCTTTATTATTTGTTTTTAGAGGGATGGGAGGAGCGGAGGAGGAGGGAGGGAGAGAGAGAATCTTAAGCTGAGTGTGGCTCCTAATGTGGAGTTTGATCCTATGACCCTGAGATTGTGACCTGAGCCAAAATCAGGAGTTGGACACTTAAATGATTGGGCCTCCCAAGCACCCCAACAATCTTTGTCTTTTACTTGTAGGATTTACCCTCTTTCAGTTAATGTAAATATCTATTTAATTTGTGTAAATCTACCATCTTATTATTTGCTTTTCAATTGGTTTCACCTCTATTTTTCTTATATCTTTTGGATTTATTAGTTTTAATTTTTAAATTTTATCATATTTATTAGCTTGCTCATTGTACCTTCTTTTGTTCTTTCCATGGTTAACATAGGGATTAGAACATACACCCTTGATTTATCAAATATTAATATAAATTAGCACTTTATTACAGGGGTCTGTAGTACAGAAAGTACAGGGGTCTAAGAACATCCTTAACGCCAATAACCTCTGTTAATAAAAAATGCTTTCATGTTCTTATTATCATTAATTTTAATATTATATATAATTGAGCCACATAAAACATTACTGTTTATGTTTTATTCTGTAATTGTTCAATTTTACCCCTTGTATTTATTCTCAGCATTCTTCATTTCTTCCTGTGTCTCATTCCTTTTTGCATCCTGAGATTCCTAACCTGCCTTAATGACATACTTTGACATTTTCTTCAGAGTGAATGAGCATATTTGCCTGAAAGAATCCTATTTTATTTAAAAAAAATTTTTTTTAAGAATCCTA